ATGAATTACACCTCAACATAAAGAAAACAAAAATCTGGAGGTGGAGCCAACATGGCTATAGACAGAAGCACCATGTGGTCCCTCTGCAGCAATGACCCGAAAAACTGAGTAACACAGATACAAACATCAATCCTGGAACCCTAAATACCAAATGAAGAAATAAAGAACTTGATCAAGCACTGAATGGAATAAGAAACTGACAGAGAACAGAGAATGAGGATTGCTACTAAGTGGAGGTCCCATACAAGCTAACATGGCCAGATTCACCATTTTGGGCTGCAGTCACCAAAGAACTCAGAAAGGGAGTATAGAAAGGCAACTTCACGGAGCTCGCAATAGGAGATAGAGTACCATGTAACCAGGGATACATGCTTTCCCAACCCACACCCTTCTTCCCTTTACAAGGCCTCCACCACTTGCCAATAGGCCATGGTTGCTTGGAGAGAGAGACACTAGCCTCTCCCCCACTGGCTGGCCCCTCCTGCGCCATTTTTCATTGGTTGGTTTTTTGGGGGTTTTTTTTTTTGGCTTTTTCATTGTTGTTGCTTTTCTCTCTTTCTCCCTTCCTTCCTTTACTTTCTCCCGCCCAGCTAGCCATCCCCTCCCCTTCTTGACTGGCTGTAATTTTTTTGGTTCGTTTGCTTCAATTTTTTTTTCTTTTTTCTTTTCTTCTTTTTTTCTGTTTCTTCTCTCTCTCTCCTTTCCTTGCTTTCTTTTCTCCCACCCATCTAGCCTTGTGCACTGCCTCCACTCCTGGAGGGGCCATGCTGCATGTCTGGGTTGGAAAGTCACTGCACGAGGCCTCCCCGGGTCTGTGCCACCGTTGCCAACCAGCTCCCTCAGCACCTTTTATTGTTTGTTTTGGTCTTTTGTTTCTGTTTTGTTTTTTGTTTGTTTGTTTGTTTTGCTATTGTTTCCTCTCTCTCCTTTCCTTCTTTTCCTTTCTCCCATCCACCCAGCCCTGTGCACTATCCCCAACTTCTTGATGTGCTGAGCTGAACAGCTCAGCTGGAGAGCCTCTGGCACA